TTTTTCTTGATTGCAATATGCCATCTGGCAAAGTATGGCATTTATTGGAATAAAGTCTAGTCATCAAGAATCAATCAGCGATTACTTGGAGGACTGAAATGAGGATGTGGGAAATCCCCAGAGCCACAAGGCTTTCTGCTTCTCCTCCTGGGAAGACCCTGTTAATGGCATTGTTCCTGTCCCCCTTAGTGTAGGCTGCTCTTGCAGACTCATCACAACCTCCTTCTGCTTTAACATCCAGTGATTAATTACCCCAGGGCCATGAGAGAGTCAAAGAATAATACAACACCAAATTGGAAAAGCCATTACCCTCTTTATAGGAATCAGAGCAACACTATGAGGAATCAGGTTTCACGGAAGTGGATATCAGATTAGTCACAAAACTTGTTTGAATTAGCCAAACCCAGATTACAGGTTAAATTTCTGAAAAGAAAGATAATAAGAGTTTTGGACCCATTTCTATAATTCTCCTAAGCAAGACAGCTTGTAGTTAAATCGGTTCATGGAATGTCAGAGTATATGGACCACTTAGTTTTAGACACAGGACAACATAATTGAGTCACTGGAACTAAACATCATCATCGTGTTTAAAGTCCTGGCTCGTCCACTTACCAACTGTGTATCTTTGGTGATCTACTTGATTTCTCTGGGCCTCAGGTTCTGCAAAAAGGGGGTAGTGATAACAGCCACCAAACAGGGCTAATGTGAAGATGAAATTATGTTATCAGTGCCTGGCACACAGTGCCTGTTAACATTAGTTCCCTGGTGTTCGCCAAATTTAAATCCTTCTCATTTATAGAAGGTCAACATGAGATAGTGCAGGTTGAAAAACACATCTACGTATCTTGAATAACTGTGTTTTATATTGTTTATTAAATAAATACCAGACCCATCCTCCCCTCACCCCAGTCCCATGTAACTCACTGATTGCTTCTCTGAACATTGATTCCTTATCTGGAAAAGGAATTTCTTCTTATTCCTATAAGAAGTCTCTCAAAAGATTATTGTGAAGATCTCCCGAAGTAGGCCACAGAAAGGACTTAATGGGTGTCTGGGGGGACAGATGCAGGGGGGACGGGTGCAGGGGCGGGTAGTACTGAATGCCATGACAAGTACTAATTAATATTGGCTGTTATGCTGATAGAAGGCCTCAGTATTAATGTTTCTGATTCTTATCAATTATGCCTTCTCAAATATAAATGTGAGTGTCACTGGCAATGTGAAGCAGTGCTTGCTGATGATTTTTGGAGGTCTTCCCTGTACCAAAAAGCAAAAATCAAAAGATATCAAAATCACTGGCTGTTTATGGCCACGGCCCAGGTAGGTGCTTGAGACGCTGGTTCCCGGAGTTCAACTTATTAAATACTTGTATGCTACAGGGTTGGGAGTAAAGAGTAGAGGAAACGAGCTCCTAACCTCCAAGAATTCACACTGTAAAAAGAAATAAATACATTAGGGGCACCTGGGTGGCTCAGTCGGTTAAGCATCCAACTCTTGATTTAGGCTCAGGTCATGATCTCATGGTTCGTGAGTTCGAGCTCCACATCGGGCTCTGTGCTAACAGCACGGAATCTGTTTGGGATTCTCTCTCCCTCCCTTTCTCTCTGTCCCTCCCCTGCTTTCTCTCTTTCTCTCTCTCTCTCTCTCTCTCAAAATAAATAAACTTAAAAAAATCACATTGCAAAACAAAATGAAAGCAATAAACATATTAAAACACAATCTCTTTCCCCTTTTCCATCACTTAGGAAAAAAAAAATTAGATACCCACGGAAAACTATAAAGTTCCCAGAATCATGGGAAAGGACTGATTTGTCTATAGCCATGGTAACAGGTAACCATCAGAACTGCTTTTAAACCCGTTGAATTTATCAACAACTCCCCTCAATGGACCTACTTGGTCAAGCCAATCAATCAGTGGCAGTCCCTGGCTTTGGAAAGACAGCTTATGAGGAAGTGACTCAGTCAAAGAAACACACACTTGAGCGTCAGTCAACAGCAGTCTCCCCCAGATAACCTCCCTTATGCAGATGTCCGTGTACTTATACCTCTAAAACCACCTCCCAGCCCCAACTACACACTTCCCCAGAACCCGTAAGATGCACTGCCTGTAATGTTGGGTCCACCGTGCCTCAGCAGAATGGATCTCCCTAATTGGGAGCAATAAATTCAGCCTTGTCTTGTAATTTGAGATAATAGTGAGTGATGATCTCCTGATCCTTTGACACCTACTACACATTTTATACAAAATTCATTCCAGAAAGATTACGATTAAAATTCATGTGAGAGTAGGGGTGCCTGGGTGGCTTGGTCAGTTGAGCATCCGACTCTTGATTTCAGCTCAGGTCATGATCCCAGGGTTATAGGGCTGAGCCCTGTACCAGGCTCCACACTGAATGCTGAGGGTGGAGCTTGCTTAAGATCCAGTCTCTCTCTCTCTCTCTCTCTCTCCCTCTGTCCCTCTCCCCCACTCATGCTCTTTCTCTCTCTCTCAAATATATATATACTTAAAACACATGTAAGTGTATATGTGTGTATGATCATAAACGCGTTAGAACAAAATATTTTCTTAAATATAGTTTTAAGATAGCAATGGTCTTTTTTTAAAAAAAAATTTTTTTTCTTTGAATGGCACCAAAGGCAGAAACTAAAGCAGGAAATACCAGTGGTAGAATTTAACTTCTGTAGGTTAAAATGACACAATACCATCCTTACTACTCAAATCTCCACCGCCACCAACAGAAAACAACATTGCCAAGCAGCAACACCAAAATTAACAACGCCAGCAGCCATCACCTCCCATCATTACCGCTGTTACAAACAGAACTAAGAAGCAAACAACAGAAAGCATGGAAACTATTTGTAATAAAGATTAATGCTCTCAATATAGAGAAAGCTCTTAAAAAATCAGTAAGGAAAGGAGAGGTGGATTTAGGAAGGTAAGAGGATACAAAGGTAACCAAGAAGAAAAGCGCCTGGTTGGCTCAGCTGCTTAAGCGTCTGATTCTTGATTTCAGCTCAGGTCATGATCTCACAGATCGTGAGCTTGAACTGTGAGTTGGGCTCTGCACTGACAACACGGAGCCTGCTTGGGATTCTTTCTTCCTCTCTGTCACTCAAAATAAATAAATGAACAGTTAAAAAAAAAATACAGAAATGCAAATAGCAAGAAAAAAGGAAAGAAGAAAGTGGAACAGATTAAAAAGAAAGTCGTAATTTAACAGTAGTCATAAAAATGTGTATTTTAAAAGATGGGCAATGCCTATCTTTTTTTATCAAAACTATTGAGAAAATACATTTTAATATGCATCTCGTGGAAAAGTAAATTGGTCTAATCTTCCTGAAAGGCTATTTGGAAATATAAATTAAATGCCATAAAAATATATGATTTATATCCTGCAATTCTACTTCTAGGAATTTATCCCAAGCAAATAATCAGAAAATAGCTAAAGTATTTTCAAAAATATTTAGTGCAATATTGTTTGTAACAATGAAAAATGGAAATAACTCTAATATATATCAATGAAGGATTGCTTTAATAAAGTATTATATGTTCATGGAGGCAAAATGTAGACCACTCTGGAGTGCCAAAAAAAAAAAAAAAACAGTGTAAATGTTCACTTATTGATATGGCAAAATGTATACAATACATTATTAAGTGAAGAGATTAGGTTGCAATTCTTTAAGTATCATATAAACTCATTTTTGTAAAATACAATTTACATGCACGTATATTCATTGTCTCTTCCAACAACAACAACAACAAACAGTGTACCATCTGTCTTGTGTAAGGCACTGTTCTAACCATTGAAGATAGGCCAATAAACTATGCAGACACGGTCCCTAACATCATAGTGCCTACAGCATAGTGAAAACAATGTGAAGAGGTAAACAAGGCACCCCAAGACTGAGCGGCTATTAGCTAACACCAGCACAACTATGAGGGCTTATTATCTTGTTCCTTTTTAATTTTAAAAACAACTTCTGAATTTTTGAAAATTGTTTCTCTTTCTTTTAAACACATATAGTCAAGGGGCACCTGGGTGGCTCAGTCAGTTAAGTGTCCAACTTCAGCTCAGGTCATGATCTCATGGCTTGCGGGTTTGAGCCCCGTGTCAGGCTCTGTGCTGACAGCTCGGAGCCTGGAGCCTGCTCCGGATTCTGTGCCTCCCCCTCTCTCTGCCCCTCCCCAACTCGTATTCTGTCTCTGTCTCTCTCTCAAAAATAAGTAAACATTAAAAATTTAAAATAAAACACTTATACAGTCAAAATAAAGCCACTTCTTTTTTTTAACTTTATTTTTTAAAATTTACATCCAAATTAGTATATAGGGAAGCAATGATTTCCGCAGCAATTCCTTACTCAACACGTCTCTGGAGGCAAGGGAAACAAAAGCAAAAATGAACTACTGGGACCTCATCAAAATCAAAATCTTCCGCACAGCAAAGGAAACATTCAGCAAAACTAAAAGGCAACCAACAGAATGGGAGAAGATATTTGCAAATGACGTATCAGATAAAGGGTTAGTATCCAAAATCTACAAAGAACTTACCAAACTCAACACCCAAAAAACAAATAATCCAGTGAAGAAATGGGCAAAAGACATGAATAGACACTTCTCCAGAGAAGACATCCAGATGGCCAACCAACACATGAAGAAATGTTCAACATCACTCATCATCAGGGAAATATAAAGCCATTTTCTTTTTAAGGAAGGAAAAGTAGGAACAGTTTTCATGACACCAAGTCATCCAGGCCTATAAGGCTTCAACATTCTCCACTGAAATGCCCTGAGACAACCTGACTGGAGCATCTGTATATTCAAAGTCCATTCCCTTTCCCCTTCTCTCTCCTCCCTCTCCTTTCTGTTCCTTCCCTTTTATTGTGTCATCCTCCTCCTCATATTAGTCATAAAAATCCTTGCCCTGGGACTATAACAAGACATCAGTTTTAATAATAGATCACAAGCTGGTGGTGATTGGTCGCACCTCACCCTTACTTACCTCAGTAGCTGTCTTCATGCCAACCTTTGAACAGAGAAGTTCAGAACAGGGCAGCATTAACCAGGGAGGAAAGTGTTAACTTCAGGTCCAAAAAGCACTGTCTTTCTGAAAGTCAAGTTCCTTAAATGCCTGGAAGAATAAGGGAAAATCACTTAATTTTTATTAGATTTCTCCACTAAGGGATTGTTTTTATTCCTCCCTGCGGATACAGCTTCTTTTGTATACACACATGTATGAGCTCTCAAAACTGTACAAAGCTGTACAAAGCCCACTGACTTCGGGAAGTTTTTTTTTTTTTATCTTTCCAAAGAGTTTCAGGACACATTCCTGCATGCATATTTGAAGGAGACGCTGCTCAGTGCTAGCCCCAAGCAGAGGATGGGACCCAGATTCCTATGCCAATGCAAAGCACAACAGGGCAAATTGAGATGCTGACCTGGAATGAGGGAGGGAGAAATTAACAAGATAATAAAGAAATGGGGCAAAATGAGAGCAGACCCAGCATAGGAAAAAGACAACAAACAGGAAGTGCTCAGAGAGCAGATACATTCTGTGCAGTTTCCAGCAAGCTTCAAGAGTTTGCTCTGGGTGAAGTAGGTGCTGATGATGTTAACAAGATTCTGTGGCCTCAGATCCAAGTTCATTAGAATCTATTGCTTCTGTCTGCTCACCCTTATGAAGCACCACTTTTCTGGCAAGGTTCACACTGTAATAGATGTGAATAATGCCGCATTGAGCATGGAGGTGCAGATACCTCTTCAAGATCATGATTTCATTCCCTTTAGATGTATGCCCAGAAGTGGGATTGCTGGATGCCCTTCCGTGTTCGCTGCAGTATTATTCACAATAACCAAGTCATGGAAACAGGGAAACAACCTAAGTATCCATCAACAAATGAACGGATAAAAAAACATGGCACACACACACGCGCGCACGCACACACTGGAAAGTATGCAGGCATAAGAAGGAACTCCTGCCATTTGCTGCACACGGATGAACGTGGAGGGCATTATGCTAAATGAAATAAGAGAGAAAGACAAATACTGCATGATCTCACTTACATGTGGAATGTGAAAAAGCTGAACTCATAGAAACAGAGAGTAAAATGGTGGTTGCCAGGGGTGGGCGATGGGGGAAATGGGGAGACGTTGGCCACAGAGCACACAGACTTTCAGCTGTAACACGAATAAGTTCTGGGGATCTAATGCATAGTGTGGTGGCTATAGTTAACAATACTTAATTATATATTTGAAAGTTGCTCAGAGAGTCTTTTCTTTTATTCTCAATTTAGCTAACACGCAGTGTAGTCTTGGCTTCAGGAATAGATTCCAGTGATTCATCACTTGCATATAACACCCAGTGCTCATCTCAACAAGTGCCCTGCTTAATACTCATCCCCCATTTACCCCACCCCCATCAACCCTCAGTTTGTTCTCTGTATTTAAGAGTCTCTTATGGTTTGCCTCCCTCCCTGTGTTTTGTCTTATTTTTTCTGCCCTTCCCCTCTGATCATCTGTTAAATTTCTCAAATTCCACATGAGTGAAATTGTATGACATCTTGCTCTGACTGATTTATTCGCTTAGCATAATACCCTCCAGTCCCATCCATGTTGTTGCAAATGGCAATATTTCATACTTTTTCATCACCAAATAGTATTCCATTGTGCGTATATGTGTATATACAAATAAGTATATATATATATATATATATGTGTGTGCGTGTGTGTATAAGTGTATATATATGTGTGTATATATATAAGTATATATATAAGCGTATATATACACATATATATGTATAAATAAGAATATATATATGTATATATAAGAATGTATATACACATACATGTATATATATACATATATATGTGTATATATACACATATATACACATATATATGTATATATATATACATATACACATACATGTATTATATATATACATAAACACACACACACTTTATCCACGCATCAATTGATGGACATTTGGGCTCTTTCCATAATTTGTCTATTGTTGATAGCACTGCTATAAACACTGGGGTGCATGTGCCCCTTGGTGCCTCAAAGGAGTGCCTCAGCACTCCTGTATCCTTTGGATAAATTCCTAGTAGTGTAATTTCTGGGTCATAGGGTAATTCTATTTTTAATTTTTTGAGGAACCTCCACACTGTTTTCTAGAGCAGCTGCACCAGTTTGCATTCCCACCAACAGTGTAAGAGGGTTCCCGTTTCTCCACATCCTTGCCAGCATCTGTTTTTTCCTGAGTTGTTAATTTTAGTCACTCTGACTGATGTGAGGTGGTATCTCAATGTGGTTTTGATTTGTATTTTCCTGATGATGAGTGATGTTGAGCATCTTTTCATGTGTCTGTTGGCCATCTGGATGTCTTCTTTGGAAAAGTGATTATTCATGTCTTCTGTCCATTTCTTCACTGGATTATTTGTTTTTTCGGGTGTTGAGTTTGGTCTTTACAGATTTTGGTCAGAGAGTCTTCAATACTGTCACCACACACACATAAAAACAAAGGTAATTAGGTGAGGTGATTGACATGTTAACTAACTTTATTTATTGCAGCAATTATTTTGTAATATATATGTGTATCAGATCATCACACTGTATATCTTAAACTTACATAATGTTATATTTCAATTACATATCTATAAAACTGGGAAAAAAGAAGACTCTATACTTCTCAAAAAAAGATGTCATATGTGGACATTGGTTCAGATCCTTGGTTTTGCATTGCTCAAAATTTGGGATTGCTAATGTTAGGGGTGTACAAGAATGCCAGGACCACATGAGAATACCTTGAATAACGCAGCAGTAACATCATTCCCCCCTCAGTTCTCCCAGTTGCTAAGAAGAAAGTATGAGTTGGGAACTAGTGCTATCTTACCTCTCTGTTATTTGCTAATCAACTTTTTTTTTTTTTTTGGAGAGAGAGAGAGAGAGAGAGAGAGAGAGAGAGAGAGAGAGCACGCACTTGCATGCAGGAGGGGTAGAGAGAGGGAAAGAGAATCTTAAGCAGGCTCCACACCCAACCTGACACAGGGCTGGATCTCAGGACCATGAGATCATGACCCAAACCGAAATCAAGAGTCGGACCCTTGACCAACTGAGCCACCCAGACACCCCGCTAATCATTTAACAGTGTGCTTAACGCTCAGACTCTTCTAGCAGGGAATATCTTCTAGTTCGAACATATGACTTTATTGATATTAGGTATGTATTTTTTTTAAGTCATACCTTCACAGAATAATTCTGGTCTTCTTTTCACAGTACTCTTATAAATATAAGGATATTTCTTTAAATAATAACTATGTAGGGGGACATGAAAATACGGCAAAACCCCTAAAAATGTTAGAAGAATGGCTCAATGTGGCAAAAAACAAAAATTTTACACATGAAAAGAAAAACACTTCCCTGACCCTCCGCTCCTACCGATTTATGACCTCTGTCACCCTAGAAGAGTCTATCTCAAGCTGACCACTGACGTGCCTGTGGACTCTACTTGTTCCCAGCCTGCCCTGGGTCTGTGTGGAAGGAGCACGGTCCCTTCAGGCCAGTTCACAGAAGCTCCTCCAGCTCCGGAGAGACTTATAACTGGAGTCCGTTTATTCCAGATGCCACGGGACAAAGACAGAACCTCATCAGCCTAAATCACCAAGTGACCATGTGGAGGAAAACCCTCTGGTGAACTACGTAGATGAATACTTCCGTTTAGCTGCTCCGATCTGGGGGTCATTTACAGGTCTGCTTTCTTGGAAAGCGTCTGAGAATGAGGTTGGCGTGCAGGACGCTAGTTGGGGAATGCTCTCCAAATAAACCTGTGGGACAAGAGGAAGAATCAGAACCGGGCAGTGAGAGCCGATGGGCTACGATCCAGCCACCACGGGGGCGCAGCTGACTCACCAGAAGTTCTGAAGTTGTAATGATCTCTTACAGTCGTCCAAAATGGGAGACGGGGGGGGGGGGGCACAGCTTTATGCCTTCAAACCAGTTAGTCAGTGAATGAAAGCTGCCCCCAGGAGGAAGTTGTGATGTTGGGTGAGGTGACTTCCAGCCAAGGGCAAATCCTGGAGAGGACTGACAGCTGAGGGCCATCAGCCGTGACCACTCCCAGCAGCTGGAAAAATAAGCTCTTCAGTCCTAAAAAGGGATCTGGGAAATGCATCAGCGTGTCCACTACCGGGCACAATCCAGTCAATTCTGACTTCTATTCAGAGGTTAAGCAACTTCTCCATGTCACAACACTGCACGTGGCAGAATGGGGATTCAAACCCACATCCGCCTGACTCCTAAATTTTAACATTGTACTAAACTGTCTACCCATCTAAACGTAATCCTGGGCCCATCTTTTGTTTGGGGGAGAACTAGTGGGGCCGTTGCCATTTTATATGGAACTTTCTTAAGTGCTGTATTTATGTCAAAACCTTCAGAGATGAGTATGTTGCTTATCATGCAGAAGGTAACCAGAGCTTAGAGAAAAGAAGCTGTAAGTCGTGGTTGAATACTTAGTACATGAGATGTGGATCTTGGGGTGCTTTACTCTAAGACCTACATTTTATTCCTAAACACTGTGGGCCCAAACAGAGGCTTGAAATGAAAAGTTAACTAAGCTCAGGTCTCTGGGACCTGGCAGCTTATTTACTCCCCTCTGCATTACCACTGACATTCAGTTAGGAGCAGATGCTCCTTTCAGAAACCTCACAACTAGGGGTGCCTGGGTGGTTCGGTTGGTTAAGTGGCTGACTTGAGTTCAGGTCATGATCTCACCATTCGTGAGTTCGAGCCCTGAGACAGGCTCTGTGCTGACAGCTTGAGCCTGGAGCCTCCTTCAGATTCTGTGCCTCCCTCTCTCTCTCTGTTCCTTTACCACTCACACTCTTTCTCTCTCTCTCAAAAATAAATAAACATTAAAATAATTTAAAAAACCCTCATTACTGGGGCGCCTGGGTGGCGCAGTCGGTTAAGCATCCGACTTCAGCCAGGTCACGATCTCGCGGTCCCGGAGTTCGAGCCCTGCGTCGGGCTCTGGGCTGATGGCTCAGAGCCTGGAGCCTGTTTCCAATTCTGTGTCTCCCTCTCTCTCTGCCCCTCCCCCGTTCATGCTCTGTCTC